AGACGTGCTCCAGGGCCAGGGATGGGGGCGAGCTGCCTCGCAGGGGCATGCATGTCCAGAGGAGTGGGATTGCATCCTTCTTCTCGATGGCTATGGTGCTGGTTCCATGAGTATTTGTCAAAGCTCACAGGACTAGAGATGCACACTTCAAAAGTAGAGCATTATCGAATTTAAGTTATACTTTGATAAATGTGACAAAAATCTTTGAAAAAGGAAGGTTATCACAGCTAAGACTGGGGCTGAGACTACAGACCTGCTTCTTACTCAAGACGCCCTACTCCTCTACACAAGTGGTTTTCAAAGTGTAGTCTCTAGATGATCAGTATCACCATTAGCTTGGAACTTCTTATTGCAATACAAACTTGGTAAAATACAAATATAACCTACTAAGTCAGAAAGCCTGGGTGTGGGGCTCAGCAAGGTGGCTTTAATGACCCTTCCAGAAGACCCCGGTGCACCCTGATGCCGAGAAGCTACTCTGCGTGACTCTCTACGCGGATCAGCCCTGGCACCAGCAGTGGCATACAGCAGCCAGGGCTTTCATGGCGGCCAGGTGCGGATCCCCCTGCACTGGGCTACATGTTCGCCCATCACAGTCACTGGGACCTCCCACTGCCCGTGGTCTGTGCTGGAACCTCCAGAGCACTGGGTGGGATTCAAAAGTGGGCCCTCTCCCTGGCCTTTCCTCCTCACCCAACTTGAATGTTGACTCCTCAGGATTTCAAAACAGCCTCTGCTTCACAACGCACACCATGATTGAGAAGTGGAATATTTCACATCTCAGTCTCTACTAGTCATGTTTTTTTTTTTTTTTTTTTCAAATCAGCTCCTTTTCTGAGTATCTCAACTAATAATCAACTGCTTTTGGACCTTGCTTTCATGTGGTCTTGAACTAGCTTGCTGAGGGAAGCTTTGTTTCTCTTTTGTATTTTTATATTTATACTTCAAGTGTTAGCCAGTTAGTATATGTGGCATACATTCATTGGAGAGAGAGAAAAAAAAAAAGACTGCACATCTCTCTAAATCGGCGTTGCCAGGAAGCAAACAGAGGGCGTGGTAATTTTTGATGAGAAAAGTGGCCTAAAGCAAAAAGTAAAGTAACAAGTTTTCCACCAGATGAAAATCTCAAAGAACCAAAATGTGGTTGAAACTAAGTTTTGCTATTCAGAGTCTGAAATAAAATACTCAAATACAGTTAGTTTTTTCAAGGCTGGCAGTAAAGGCTAATTAAATAAACAAAAATTTAAATTAATATAACTAAAAAAATGAAAAAGCCACATCCCTCAAACGAAAGCCATCAAACGTATAATCCAAGACTTACTTAAAACATGAGTGTACTGATACAGATAAAATGCGTTTGAAAATAGAACTAAGGTTACTGAGAATTCATACTGACAGAAAGGTAGAGAGAAACACTCCCAAAAAGGTAACTCCTTTGGTTTTGATCATTTAAAAATGATGTATCTTCTCAGTGTCATTTTTTATGGTTTGTTTTTTTTTTTGATGTGTTGGATCAGTGCCTTGCCCATGAATCTATACTCGTAGCCTAATCTCTGCTATCAAAAACAGGTTCTCTTGGTTCCACTTCTAGTATTGACAAGCCTAAGGAGTCATGTTGGCGATCTTCCTAACTTTCTCTGTGATCCCCGATTCCTGCCTGTGAGTCAGAGCGACAGCACCGTCACTGTCACACCAGACAGGTGGATGTGGCAATAGCTCCCGTTCGCTCGGTCTCAGATGTGAAGGGCCTGGAGACAGATTCTGTACCCAATTCTCTCTTTGAAAAGAGCAGAAATTACGATTCCCAAGAAATCGTGCAATTTGCTCCAAGTCCTACGGCTGAGTGTGACAAAACTGCAAAAAAGATTTCTGGTTTCTAGAATAATGTTCTTTCTAAAAAAAATGCAATAGGTTCTGACACAGGAAACTTATAGAGTATTTTGGAAAACATTGTAACCAAATGTTCCTCAGCTAAGAGTCCAATTAGAAAGGAAGCATCGGGCATTTTATAGGACACTGTTGAGTCTGTTTTAATTCTCAAGTAATGTCACCTTTTCTAACTCTATTGTATAGGGTTAGAAAATCCCACGGCATTACACCCAGACATTGTGATGGTCAAAGTTAGGAGTTTAGATGCTCAAGATGTTTGTTGAATGAATGAAGGAGTGAGGAGTCCTCCCATCTCCTGAGTCCCACACTCCAGTGCACTCCAAGAATGTAAAGGAATCCCTCACTTTTTTTGGAGACAGGGAATTTGCTTCTCCTCTAAGTCTCAAAGTGAATAACCATCAGCTCCTTTTAAACACCTGAAATATTACTAAACCAAACAACAGAAACACCAAATTACAGACAACATACTGGAAGATTTATAACAATACTGTTAGTAGGAAACTTCATCTATCATTTCCCCTAAAAGGTAAAATTATCACACAGACTGAACAAGATCAAAGAGAATAAACACTTATAACTGATGGGGCCAGCAGATTGGCATAATGGTCACGTCACTGGACTCCCATGTGGTTGACTGTGGTTCAAGCCCTGGACCTGGCAGCTTAAAACTCATGCTGGATGCATGTGCGTGCGTGCCCAGAATCCTGTGAGGGGAGTGGAGGGGAAGGGGTTGAGGTGTGGCTATCTGCCCTGGGGGATGGTTTCTCGCTTTCTGTCTGTCTGGCTCTTTCTCCATTGAACACACGTGCAAAAATCTCTCTCTAAAAAACAAAACAAGGGAACAACAATTGGCATAATGGCTATGTCGCTGGACTCCCATGCAGTCAACTGCCGTCCGAATCCCAGACCCTGTGGCTTAAACTCATGCAGGCACGTGTGTGAGTGTGCCCAAGATCCCGAGAGGAAAATGGAGGAAAAGAGATTGCAGTGTGGCCATCCCCCTGGGGGGGTGATTTTTTTCGCTTTCTGTCTCTCTGTCTCTCTCTGTCTTTCTGGCAAGCGCACGTGCCCTATAGCAAAAACCTCTCCAAAAACAAACAAACAAACAAACAAACAAACAAAAAACCAGGAGCCCCCTGGAGGAAGTCTGAAGAAACACTAGGTGAGCAGTTAGTGTGAAACTATGAGAAGGAGCCTGTGTTGCAAAGCTCTCACAGGTGGGTCAGGAACTGGAGGGCACACTAAAACAGGACGGCCACCGTGACCAGCAGGAAACAGGCTGGGCATCTCAGAAGATGCTGACACGAGTTCATATACAGCACACAAACATTTTCAAATCAATTTAAGTTTCTTCCTTCAATCTACAGGGTTTTCCCCCCAACATCAAAAGAGGCAGATGTTAGTGACTTAAAAGAATGTTCTCTCTCTAGGTTTTTCACACTTGAATATTCGCAGTCAAAGAAATACCTAGAACATGAAAGCTCAACCTCCCCACTACCAACCAACTTGAAACCTGGTCCAAAGTCAAAGCCTGCAATGCTACCATCAGCGTAATTAGAGCTGATTTAAAGAATTCCTCGGTTTTGAGTAAACAGCCCACTTTAACTGGGATTTTAGCATTGGCTAAACCAGGAAACTCTGAAAAATAGTTTTAGAAAGTAAAGAAAATTAATTTAGAAATTATTATTTTTTTAAAAGCTATTTCTGCTATAGGGTGCATGCACTCGCCAGAGAGACAGAAAATGAGAAATCACCCCCCAGGGGGGTTGACCACACCACAATCCCCTCTCCTCCATTCTCTTCTGGGATTTTGCGTACATACACACACGCACCGGGTGAAAACTTTAGGCCGCTGGGTCTGGGACTCAAACCATGGTTAATACGTGGGAGTCCAGTGATGTAACCACTATGCCATCTGCTGGGCCCTTAATTTAAAAATTCTTTTTTTTAAAGAATTGTTTTATTTATTTTTAATGTGATCAGAGAAGGGGAGAGGGAGAGAGAGAAAAAGTGAGAAAGCAAGCCACCAGGTCCGGGACTTGAACTGTGGTCAGCCATGTAGGAGTCCAGCACCCTTAACCACCATGCCACCTGCTGGCCCCAATTTAGAAATTCTTACTCCTTTTTAATAAAAAGGCTTTCTTCCCGGTTGAGCACATACTCATGCATGAGTGAGTCAGAGAGGTGGGGGTGGACTGATGAGCACCGTCTCAGGGTCCAGTCACACACGACTCCTTCCTCCAGGCCTCTAGCCTGTCAGGTCTGGCACTCACAGCGTGCCCAGCGTGTTTCAGGCGGACAGGGCAGGGCCTGGACCACAGCGGCCATGTGGGGTCTGGCTTTTCTTGAGAAGCACATCATGGCTCTGCCTCAGGGTAGGCCTTCCTTTGGTTCTGAAGGAGTCTCAAGACTTAACCTTTTAGGGGTTACTAATGGCACAAATCAATTCATACTGCATGCTAAGTTACTGTGCTGTGCTCTATTTTAATGTTTTGTGGGAAAAAAAGATGAAAACCATTCTTTAGCATACTAAATAGCTCTTATTACAATTTTAACTGGGGGCCAGTGGGTGACATAGTGGTTAGGGTGCTGGATGCGGCCGACAGTGATTTGAGTTCCGGACCTGGCAGCTTGCTTTCTCTCTCTCTCTGGTGAGTGCATGTGCCCCATAGAAAATGAACAGAATAATAAAATGAGAAAAATGAAGTCATCTTAAAATTAAAAAGCTGTCTTAAATGTTTTGAAGTTATTTAAAATTTCCTTCATTAAAATTCGTTTTATCTGACCAGTCCTCCAGCGAACAAGGAACTTCATGTTTCCGTTTCAGCTCCAACAAGTGGCAAAACACACGTGCACCCTTGGCTTCTCATCTGTGAAAACTTTCCAAGCAGCTCGGAGCTAAAGCCATGTTTATCGATTTCAGGCCCCAAATATGCACACTGTAAATCCATTATAGGATTCCTCAAGAATGTAAAACCAACCATAATGTGTTCATTCCTGCTACAGTTTCTTTTCTTTTAATTTGTTCTACTTTTTCCAGGAGAAGAAACGTATTACTGAAAACTATACCCCCTGGCACCGCCATCCACAGCACACACAGTCTTACTTACCCGACCACCATGTCCTTGGGCCCGGCAGTGACGGTGCAGATCCCGTCCTCACAGTGCTTCCCCACCAGGCTGTGGGCGTGCAGGTGGATGTTTTTTCCATTTGTGACCAACTGCACGATCACCTTGGCAGGTCCCACATAGTTGCAGATCTGTATGAGGAGCACACATCCAGAGTTAGTGCGTTCAATCACACAGCCACACAGGAACAGGTCGGAGAGAAGCATTCGAGGACATGAAATGGTGCACACCTGCGAGGGGGTACACATGACCATAGCTCTGATCCTCAAAGTACAGAACGAACGAACAGACAGGATGGACATAAGGCGTTTCTGGTAGCTGCTTGGTGTGGTGAGACGCTACAAGGCGGGGCATGCACGATATGGACTGTTTCATAGGAGCTGGGCCAGCAGGCCTCGGAGGATGCCGTGTTGCCAAAAAGCAATAAAAGGCCTCTTTTTTCCAACTAACCAAGAACAGGTTTTCTTCTGCCCTGCCCCACAACACAATTTTTAATCATAAAAGCTGGGGAAATGACCCATGAGGAGGGAATTAGTGGGTGATGGGAATCGGGGAGAAGCGTGGTGAGCAGGGACAGCGCCTCCTAACGCCTCCATGTGACAATGTAGCAGAGGGGGTCCTGTCTGGGTCCTGCCTCTGAGGCTGGCTGTGGATGCCCAGCCCCAAAGCTGGGTCTGCAGTTACCTTTTGGGACTCTTGGGCCTTCATTAGTCTCTGCCACTATGAGCTCCGACCACTGAGGTACGTACGCCGTAAATTTCTTCCGTTCGAAAAAGTGTAACTTCTCAGTACGAATCCTTAGATTTCGACTCTGCTAGCTCTTATAAAGTGCTATTTTTCCATTTAAGGTAACATGTCTTGTTATCGGCGTATCTATAAAACAATGGCCATGCCAACAGGAAACTGCGTGGAGACCATGGCATTTCCAGCAAGGAGAGTCTGGATATCTCTTCTCTGGATGACTGTCTAGTCCCCAACAGCAGCCCAGACACCTCCCTTGAGAAAGCCCCAAGACTAAATCCATACTACCAGAAAGACCAGTGGCCTCGCCTGAGCCACCTGGTGACAAATTCCACCAGACTGTTGGAGATGCACTGGAATCTCTTCAAAGGATGGCCAGCTACTCTGCTGGGATGAACGGGTTTTCTGGGCGGATGATGTTCAGAGCCAACCCCTGGGTGAGCTGGCCACCTTCCTTCCTTCTGGGAAAGGGGATGTCCCAAGTCCGGGATCTCCAGCTCTCTCCT